CACGAATTAGATGTGTTGTAATAGAAATATGGATTCTAAGTGCAGTACTTCAGTTGCCTCATAGTTATCACAAATAAATACATTGATTGTGAATAGCCATGGGTCAGATGACTTGAATACCATTGCAATCAGAGTAGTCTGGAGTCATTGTTTGTACAAAGTGATGATTGCTTTTTTAGATGGACCAACATCGCTGACATTTAAGCATGTCATGACTGTGTAATCTTGCAAGTATTTTAGCCAGCAAGGTCCCTTGCAACTTAAAGCAAATTCAGAAAGTGGTGGATGAAGTATACAAATCAAGTACTTGAGTAAAAGTACAGATCCGTTTAATAAAATATTACTCCAGTAAAAGTAAAAGTACTCAATTTTACTCGAGTGCAAGTACAAAGGTACTTGATTTTTTATGTACTTAAGTAAAAAGTACCGATAGATGAATGTTTATTTTGCACTTTTATATAGGCTACTTTTATCATTAAATTTTATATTAGCATATCTTTAAAAAAAAAAAAAAAAAAAAGTGACGTGACATGTGGCCAAGTATGGTGACCCATACTTGGAATTAGTGCTCTGCATTTATCCCATCCAAAGTGCACACACACAGCAGTGAACACACACACACACCATGAACACACACCCGGAGCAGTGGGCAGCCATTTTTTTGCTGCGGCGCCCGGGGAGCAGTTGGGGGTTCGGTGCATTGCTCAAGGGCACCTCAGTCGTGGTATTGAAGGTGGGAGAGAGCGCTGTACATTCCCTCCCCCCACCTACAATCCCTGCCGGTACGAGACTTCAACCCGCAACCTTTGGGTTACGAGTCCGACTCTCTAACCATTAGGCCACAACTTCCCCAGTTGTGGCTGAACTTCCCCACGACTTTATAAAACGAAGTAAAACTACTTCGTTACTGTCCACCACTGAATTCAAAGCAACACAAATTTCATTGTTTATCTCTACTTTTCAAAAAAAAAAAAAAATAAGGCTGATACATTATTATGCACATCAGTCCTCACACTCTGATGGGATCTGTGAGGTGGGATAAACAGAGCTGCTGAAGCTTATTGTCTAATGACACTCCAATGGTTGAACTTTCACCTTATATATAGCATGCAATATAGTAATGCACATTGTTGTATGCTATGCTTGTCTAAAAGCTATTCTTTGAAATGGCCAACTCTTGAAACATTATTTGAGCTATCAAAAACTATTGCTTGCAATGCTCTTTAAGTTTTGGGTTCAGTGCAAGACAGCATCTGTGGCTTAATATAAATTATTACAGAAAAAGCAAAAATTACAGAATTCACTCAAATACACCCTGGGTTAAAATCCATTAAACATTATGTTGTTATGATACAAGTTAAAAAAGAATTGGCTACTGATTAAAATTATATCTAATCTTTTAATTTTGTTGTCATGATGACCTGACATACTGTGACTAATTGTAAAGCACTGTTTACATGCGGCAAACTTCACTGACAGGATTTATGTTGGAAATACATAAACTGAAGTTCATCCAGTATTTCCAGTTCAAGAAATCATGATTTAAACAAATTTACATTTAATTACCTCCAGTGCTTAAGTTGTTTTGAACCCGTAAACTTGTGTGTGAATGAGAACTTAGTTTAGTACTCACATGCTGTGATAGCCGCTTTCTGTCCGTGTGCTTCGGATGTGTGCACTCAGAAAACCGTGTACAGAAGTTTAAACTAATATGGTTTAAACCGCATGATTTCGGCACGATAAACATGATAATCAGAACCAAAACAGATGTTTTTAGCAGGTCCGAGCTGTAATGGCACAGCTCTATTCTGGAAAAGGGGGCAGGGAGCAGCAGCTCATTTGCATTTAAAGATACAGGCCCGAAAAACAGCGTGTTTCTGCTTCCACTCAAAATAGGCATTTTCAAAATTATATAATAAATGAGCTGTGCAGTATTTTGAGCTGAAACTTCACAGACACATTCTGGGGACACCAGAGACTTATATTATATATTGTAAAAAGGGGCATAATATGTCTCCTTTAACTCAGCTATACAAACATTACTGACTCGTGATAAACTGATTGGCAAACACAGATATTGGTGCTTATTGCCTATAATGCTCAGAGTAACAAAGCTTACCTATCTAAGAAGAACCACATAATTTTATTCTGGGGATTTTAAACATCAAAGTAAGTAAATCTGTCCATGAAAGTGATTTGGACACAATTGCACAAAAAAATACTGATGTATTGATGTGTAAGGCCTAAGTGAGCTATAAATGTCACAAGGTTTTAGCCTGCAGGTTCTTTTAGCAGTTAAGATCAGCATTTGGCCAGTTAAAACAGGTGTTAGATCAACACTTACATTGTAGTTCCCAGCATAAACTAAAACAATGACTCATGCCTTGTTGATCACATTAACTTTGTGTGTTTTTCCCCCACAACCCACAAATGTTTGCCACTGTGTCAGTGTGGCTGAGCGTGGAAGAGGTAATGAGTGTGTAGCTCCGAGTAGTGATTTGTTCGAGTGGTTAGTGTTTATGCGTGGATGTAAGCATTGCTAATAGGCAGGTTTGTTTTGTTTATTGATTGCAATACAGAAAGAGAGTGCATTTCTCACTATGCTGTAAAAAGTGTTTACCTTTTAAATGGTGGTAATTTTAAGTACAGGGTGATGGACTAAAGGAGAAGTTCAGTACAGTGAGGGTTTGTGGCATTTATGAAGCACTTTTCAATCCTTGTAGAGTTATTATGGCTGGAGTTTGGGGAATTGGGGTCTCATGAAGTGTGAAAATCAGAGGTAGAGGTAATTTATGAATGTGCAGATAATGGTGCTCTCTCAGTAATAATACACAAATCAAACTGCCAGCTGTGTTCTCTCATTGAAATGTTATGGACACACGTGCACACACACACACACACACACACACAACAGTCTCCTCCATCTCAGCAGCGGTATCCACACCAACTTTAGATTGAAAATGTCCCATCATTTCATTCTTGTCGGATGCGAAAGGTCATCACTCTGATTCGCTGCATGTTCCGAGATTTTTTTTTTTCATTTCCTAGCCTATTCCTCGCTCCTCAGCAGCTCTTTCCAAAATGGTGGTCCTTATGACTTACCTCTTCTGTTTTGCCGGTACTGCCATGTTAGAACTTCACCCATTTTAAAAGCACAAAACCCAAAAAGCAATATCATTCTCAAAGGGATATTGAATTCAGATCTGCTGAGAATAAAAGAATGTCTTTCACACAGATGTTTCTCAAGGTTAGCTTCTATAGGCTGCCTGTCATATAAGTGGGGAAAAGAAGAGGGAATTAAACATCGTAATTGTTAGTCTCTGAAGTGAGCGTTGAAGTGTATTTTTTATTTCAGTATTCAGAAACGTTCTCAGTTTATGCAGAGAAAATTTACTGTAAGCTGTTGATGCCATTTAACTCATTCAAGTGTGAATACATTGCACTGGTGCTTTTAACATATTGTTCAGTTTGTACAGTTTGACTTGTCTACTTATGTTTCAGTGAGGTGGGTTTGGGACAGTATAGCCATTAGCCAACTATGCTCACAAGTTCCATAAATATCAACATAGATAACTGAGTTGGTGTTTCCAGAATCCATAGTTGTATGTATGTACTGTATATATTTTATGAGATCAGGTTGGTCTGACCAAATGTGGACAGGGAGTGTGTTATAGAAAGTGTGCTTTAAAAAGTAATTATTTTTGCAATTCTGTTTCAGTGACTCTAGTGGCTCTGAAATTACACACTTCACCTTTAAGTATCATATATCATCGCTTGGTTGAGGAAATGCTGCATGTGCTGTGGACTGCAGTCATGCTCTATAATCAGAGAGCCAGTGGCACAAAAAATGTAACAACTTGACTTTATGGTTATAAATGTTGTAGTGTCCCTCTGCATGTGTGTTTGTGTGAGTGTTGTTATGTGTGCATGCCCTGATGGATAGACTAGATTGCAGAGTCGGTCCTCACATCCTGCACACCCCTCGCTCTAATCATAGCCTCCCTCTCTGACAAGATCACGGCTCTGACCACCAGCCCTTTGCAAAGCCACACAATAACACTCCAGCTAAAGCCTGGCCTCTTATCAGCCTGGTATTTCCCGATAGAGGACAGTGTGATGAAGAAAGATTCACTTCTTGAAGGAATGATGGGATAGAGAAGGATTGATGGCTAGTTGAGATCATATGTTTTTATTTTCTCTCATTGAGCCAGTGCTTTGAAGTGTGTGAGGCTTTTACTGGAAAATGACATCTGCCGTCTGAATGTGAGCATCATTTTCAGAGGGTCTGTGATTAAAATGATGTTCATGTGAACACACATATGTAAATGCCATATGATTTATCAATACCATATTGATTACTGTAGACTAGAAATGTATTGGTATCAGTCTATATGTGTGTATGTATATAATTCTAATTTGCTGATTTGGTGCTCAACAAAAAAATTGAATTACATTTCAGTTGTGCTGCTTCATGTTTTTGTTGAAACCATGTTTCATGAAACCATTATTCAGGGTTCTTTAATGAATAGAAAGAACAGCATTGATTTAAAAAAGAAACCTTTTGTAACAACTTAAAAGTACTGTCACTTTTGATTAATTTAATTCATCCTTGCTTGAATAAAAGAGTTCATTTCTTTCAGGAAAAATCTTACTGAACTTTGAATGGTAGTTTATCATCCTATATTGAATATTACATTTTGCATTTTTACATTTAGATTACCTTTTTGTTTTTTAATGCTCACTTACAGTAAACACAACTTATTTGAAACACTGTTAAATATAATATTTAGCTCATTTAAAATGAATATCCATTTTTCATCCTGTGTATTATAATTGTGTGGTTAGTTGTTGTGTGGTTATCTTTTCTCTGTATCTTAATGTGCAAAGCATTGCTTGAAAAGACAAAGTATTGCTGTTGAAATGGCATAAACCTCTGCCAAATGTGTTTGTGTGTAGCGCTATCACAATGACAGCTTGTTTTTTCATTTTGTCTCTCTTAGGGAGCTCCTGGGTCACGACTTCACTGAGACTCACTATGAGAATGGCCTCCCTGTCACCCAAACCAGCAATCACACTGTAAGCAGGACTGAGACCTCTGTGTGTGTGTGTGTGTGTGTGTGTGCGTGTGTGTGTGCGTGTGTGCGTCTGTGTCTTTGTTCCTCTCTGTCTCTGCTTTTCTCAGTTCTCGTATTTGTTTCAGTGCGTTTTATTTACTTGACATGTAAAGCTTGATTTATATTTTACAAAGCAGAATGTTAAAAACCTAAATGTTCTATTAGCATGTCAATTAAACACATTTGTTTAGTGTGATTAATTCTATTTAAAAAAGCAGTAAAAAAATTGCCATAAATGCAAAATAGATTGCTGTGGACTGTGAACCAGCAATGGGCATAATGATATCGATATAAAAATAAAATTATATCGTAATGTCCATTCAATGTTTTCATCTGCTGCAATAATTGAATGTCTTAAAATTATCACTTTTCTCAAGTATTGGTGTGTGATTATTTGCAATTACTTGGATTATATAATGTAATGAGCCATGTACCATGTCATGAGCCATGAAAAAAAAAAGATTGATAGCCCTAATTTATAAATAATTTGTGCTTACAAAACAAATCTCAGTCATATTTTATCCCAAAATAAAACTAAATAATATTTTACATACTATATAAATCAATGATGTCATAACAGTTGAACACATTGTCCCTCAAAATTTTCATTAGTGTAATGCATTTTACTTTTGTAATGTAATAATGAATACTCCTGGTACTTTTTTTTATTATATTCTACTTACTGTAATATTTATTTTATTGCATAAAATGCTGCAACATAACTGCAATTTTTAGTTCAGTCAGCTATCAATGTTGTGCTATCTTTGTCTTTTGCACATGTGAGAACATGAGCAGGCCTATTAGCGTACTTGAACACTCAAATCACAAATAAACAGCCTTATACAATGTAGCCAGTAAGTCTAATGCTGCCAGTAGGGATATTTTTTGTTATGAATAATTCTTTCCTTATTTTCAATTCCTGCAAAACATTCAGTTAACGGGCAAAGAAGACTCTGGAGGTTCCATTACGATATATTTTAGCTGCAGAAGGCAGATTTTATACAGATAATTTATTGCTAACTCTTGCAGAAAGTTGTCACTTATGTGCTTCCGTTGAATGTGGTTGAGGTGTGAAGTGCCGGGTTCAATCAGGGACGAGAGAGACTCGATATCAAAAAGTGTGACTCGGAATATAAGACACAATTGCTCGATTTTTCACACTGTCTGTTCGTTGCAAAACAGTCTTGTTTTGCTCCACGCATCCCTAAAATCCGACTTATTGATCAGCCAGAAAAGGATACAAAACCACAAGCGAATTTCTTCAGCCGTAAACTGCCTTTCCTGACTGTTATGAAGGATCCCAAATCCACTTGCAGTCCCCGCACAAGCTCTGAGCTTTGTAATTGCATTTCCATGACTTGACAAGGGTTGATGGGAGTGAAGTCACACCCCTGATTATTTTTGAGCCCTTTTAACAGCTTCCAGCTGCCCCCTTGAGTGAGCAGCACAGGATGGGCGTACAGCTCACCATTGGGCACTAACACACAAAGAGCTTTTGAAGGGAATGAGCAGTTCGCTTTAGTTACCACAGAGATCACAGCACCCCTCTCGCTCCCTGTTATGATATACGGGGTAATTCAATCTAGGGAAAATCACAGAGGATTTCTCCTTCTTTCGACTACCAGCATCCGAAAAGGAAAATATGACAGAAGGGACTGATCCCTAAGCCAGCTGGTTAACCACACATTATAATCAGGTTGGAATTTTTCCCCTTTAGTAACCACACACACACACACACACACTCACAGAGGTTTAATTAGCGTTGTATTTATAACTTCATAAAAAAAGTCATTAAGCAAACCTTAGTCCTATCAAATCAAAGAAAATCAAATATTCATGAGTCCTACAGCGGGAAGATTAAACTGTCAGTGTGCAGGCTTCACATTATAGCAAATCAGTTTTATGTCTTAGTTCCAGTTATTGGAAATGAAAATATTCCCTATGATGGCCTGAAATGATGGCGTGGAATGGATCTGTGAATAAATGGTGCGCAGTTTTGATCTACTGACAACAAGAGGAAGCACTGACAGGAAGAAGAGGAAGTACTGCTGCTGATTTCAATCAAAACACACACACACACACACACTTAAATATATATATATATAAAAAAAAATATATATATATATATAAATAACACATCAGTCTGCATTGTGGAAAAATAATGGAGAGTATATGATAACAATAATAATTTTAGATAAAATTAAACCCAAACCTTAAAAAAAACTAAAATGATAACAAAAAACAACAACAGAAACAGCTAAATAAATAAGAAATAGAAAAAAATGCAGTTAACAATTTAGTATTAGGGACCAATTCTCACTATTAAATAGTTGATTATTAGCATGCCTACTATTAACATATTGGCTGTTTATTAGTAATTATAAAGCGCATATTCTGTATGACCATATTCTACAGTGCCTTGCGAAAGTATTCATACCCCTTCATTTTTTTCACGTTTTGTTATATTGCTGCCTTATGCTAAACTGCTTTAAATGACTAATTACTACAAATGTATTAAAAATAAAAAACTTAAATGATTCCATTGCGTAAGTATTCATACCCTTATCTGGGACAATTAAAATTTAGCTCAGGAGCATTCATATTGCTTGTAGATGTCACTACACTTCGAGTGAAGTTAACCTTTGGCAAATTCAATTGAATGGATATGATCTGGAAAGGCACACACATCTTAATAAAAGGTCTAACAGCTGATAATGCATATCAGAGCAAAAACCAAGCCCTGAGGTCAAAAGAACTGCCTGTAGAGCTCAGAGACAGGTCTGTGTCAAGCCACACATCTGGGGAGGAGTTCAGGAAAAAATTCTGCTTCATTAAAGGTTCACAGAAGCATGTAGTCTCTGTTATCCTTAATGGAAGATGTTTGAAACAACCAGGACTCTTCCTAGAGCTGGCCTCCTGGCCAAACTGAGCAACTGATGGAGAAGGGCTTTGGTTGGTGTGGTGACCAAGAACCTGATAGTCACTCTAGTTGAGCTCCATGATCATATGTGGAGATGGGAAAAACCTAAAGAAGGACAAACACCACTGCAACACTACATCGATTTGGGCTTTATAGCGGTGTGGCAAGATTCAATCATCTCCTCAGTGAAGACACATGAAAACACACTTAGAATTTGCAAAAAAGCAACTAAAGGACCCTCAGACTGTGAGAAATAATATTCTCTGGTCTGATGAACCTCAAATCTAAGCATCATGTTTGAAGGAAACCAACTCTGCTCATCACCTGCAGAGTACCATCCCAAAAGTAAAGTGTGGCTGTAGCAGCCTCATGCTGTGGGGCTGTTTTTCAGCAGCAGGGACTGAGGGACTTGTTAGAGTAGAAGAAAAGCTCAGTGCAGCAAAATATAGAGAGAGCCTAATGAAAACCCAGTCCAGAGCATTCAGAACCTCAGACTGGGCAGAAGGTTTACCTTCCAACAGGACAATGGACCTAAGAACACAGCAAGAGTGGCTTTAGACAACTCTGTGAATGTCCCTGAGTGGCCCAGCCACAGCCTGAGCTTGAACTCAATCAAATATTTCTGGAGAAACCTGAAAATGTGCGTCTGCCCCCATCCAACCTGACAGAGCTTGAGAGGTGAAGAGGTGAGGTGAAGAATGGC